TTTTTAAAGGGAAAAATGGTAACTTTCCATTTTTTTCATATAAAAAAAACTAAAATAAAATAATTAAATCAAAAATAAATAAAAAACTCTATCATCTTTTCCAACCACCCCACCCCACCCCATCTCACCCCACCCAACCCAAAACCAAAACCGTCGGCACCAACACACCCACCTCCGCCACCATCCTTCAGCCACCAATCTCTACCAAACTCATCGGGAAAATAGCTACTGAGCTGATTATGAGACAGATCAAGACACAAAATTTTGATTAATCCATTCGAGGTGAGAAATTACTATTTCTAGCAAGTTTATTATTCTGTAGATGAAGCTCTTGGAGCGTGGATGATGTTAAAAGGGAAGTTAGAAGAGGTCCCTCCAATTGATTGAAACTGATATCAAGGGCCATGAGTTTCGGAAACAGAGTGATAACTTTTGGAAGGAACCATTCAGGGCATTACGAAATAGATTGAAATAGTTCAAACGCAGAAGTTGAGCAGTTACCTCTCTTCCCACTCTCACCAATTTCCCCCAAAACGCCACCAGCACAATCAAACCAAAACAAAGTCACCCAAATCCAGTGAGCTCGAATCAAAATTGGTGACTCAAAAGACTTCACAGTCAAATCAAAAGCCATCCCTTAGGATTCACAGAAAATGGTCATTTTGCTTATTTGGTTATTGATTTTTTCTTTCGAGAAAGAAATTGGATTGATCTGTTTATTGATGTTGTGGATTGATTGATGAAGGGTGTGCCTAAGAAAGGGTGCACTTGATCGGTGATTTAGTGGTGAAATGGGTTTGAGAGGTAAAGAAGGAGATGGTGTCGTCGGGGGAGATGCGACAATGAGTTGGTGGCAGCACTCGCGAGGTGGGTGGGGTGGGTTGAAGAAGGAGATGAACAGTATTATTTTCTTTTAATCATTACTTCAATTATTTTATGAGGATAAATAGGGAAGTTACCATTTGCCCTTTTAAAATTTGGTTAGATTTTTAATTTTTGGTCAAGTAACGGTCAACTGGACGGAAATCGTCCATTTGGACTATAAGTGCGAGTTTTTTAAAGGTTTGATATCGTGGGTGGCACAAAACCAAGGTTTGGGCAAAGTCTGCAAAAATTCGAAAGATTTGGTACCCTGGCTACAATTTTTCCTTAAATTTACTCAGTGTTATCATGTGAGTTGGTCGAAATTTCAGATTTATTTAAAACTTTTCTCGATAGCAATTAAATCTATTTTTATATGTGGCATTTCTATATCTCTATAAAATATATGACATATAAGAAAACATTAAACGAGTTAGAACATCAAAATAACCATGCGAAGCATAGAGGTATATCTCTATCCTATATCGAATCTCACAATACTTATTACTACGTGCTAATAATTCTATTATCTCTCTCGATGATAATAAAATTAACAAACAATTCAATTAATAGCCAATTAATTGAAAAACATACTAAATCATAATAAACATATACGCATTCAAACAAATTAACGTCAAAATAATTAATTAATACTAAAAATTTTAAAATAAGGGTTCATCTATATCTTTAGCAATGTAAAAATCTAACCTAACGTAATATTG